TAGCTCTGGCTGTCCTGGAACTCACCATGCAGACCAGGCTGGCCTCAAACTAAGAAAGATCTGCCTTCAAACTCTGGAATTAAGGGTATATGCCACTACACTCATTTATGGAATAATTTGAATCTCATTTCAGTCAATTCTAATATGTGGGTCATGTCAGAGATGTCTTATTATTCATGGGTTTTTTCTTTTAAAATTCTGTCTTTCTAATTCTTTGCAATCTGATAAGGTTTAATTCTATTGTGAACATTTATAGATTATAGGGAGGCTATATTGCTTTTTCTAAAATGGATTGTAGTGATTAATGTTATTTCTCAATCTGATTGCATTTAAAATGCCCAGACAGAGAGTATCTGATGGTGTTTCCAGAGAGAGTTAATCATCAAGGCTCTCAATTGCTGCAAGCCGAAAAAAATATATGAAGTAGGATTTCAGCTGATTATGACAAGCTAATATCTGGAAGAAGCCAAAGGCCTTCCAAAGGTCAAGCTGAGGCTCAAGGAGGAGAAAGACAGAAACACAGGATAGCTTCAGGAGGACCTGGATCAAAACCGCAATAGTCCCTTCTGCTTCTTCCAAAGGGCTTTTTATAACAATGCCAAGGGGGCAGGGCAAAAGACCTCCCCCATACTAGATCAAAGCACACTGCACAGCCAAGTGTAGACCCTTCCAAACACCTGGTAATCACGTACGTGGTCATATGATCCCCTTATGCAGCCCTGCTGGGTAAAGCAAACTCAGATTCTTGGACCCTGAGTAAGTTCTCACTAGGAAACCTCTGTGGGTCTCTACAGCTTCCCCTTCTTAATATATTAAAGAGCCTCTCAGATAGACTGTGTCTGCCTTAGGTTGTTTTCTTATTCACTAATCAGCCTTACCCATCATGGAGATACACTTTCCATCAAGCATACTTCAGTTGATAACACCAAACCCTTTTTTTAAATCAATAAACTCTTGATGCAACTGCATCAAACTTAAAGACTCCTTTAACTTCACCAAACCATGGTTCATCAATAT